GATTTATAACTCATTGATAGGAAGGTACCTCCCCAGGTGTCATCAAAATGCTGACAACCTGTTTATTATTAAGGAAAAATATTCAAAGGGCAATACTGTAATAACACACGCAAAGAGCAGACACTAATATCCTCAAGGGAACATGTAACTTTTTTTCACAATTACCCAAGGGAGAAGCCACATTTTTCCAACCTACTGGATGATGGTAATTAATAATCATATATTGAAATGAAGTATTTATTCTTTACAGCCATCAGCATCTTTCTGACTGGTTCTTGTTAACTCAGTAACACTCTGAGTTTGGTATGTCCCTAGGTTTCCCTCCCAAGCCAAGACAGTACTAACCAGCTTGACTGAATATTAGGTATGGCTTACAAGTTATATCCCCATTATTAAGAGGTAGTGTAACAAAAGGAATCCACTATAACTGAATATAACACATGTTCCTTGGTCAGTGTTTGGATCATGGGGGAAAATGTCATACAGACTATTAGTGGGACAATTAGAAAAAAATTATGAATAGATCACGTATTAGATACTGGGATTTTTGTCAATGTTAAATTTGATGAATTAAATAACTATGCTACAGTTTTGTGGGGAAACAAAGATCTTATTCTCAGAAATCTATACTGAAGTATTTTGGGGGGAAATGACATTATGTCTAAAATTATTTTTATGTTTATCTTTTCTTAAGTTGATATTTCCAAATGTTGGGGACACACATGTTTCGTTTACACACTTTTGTTTTTTGCACAGATTGAGTCAAAGTTATAGATGTAAGTGTGCCCTTTACCCAGTTAGTGTGCGCTTTATCCAATAGGTGTGAATCTTATTTTTATTTTTATCTTAAAAAAGATATCTCTATATAGAATGGGAGCAATAGAGTCAGTAAATGAAAATATTTGAAAAATAGTGAATAAAGCATATATGGGAATTCTTTATGCTATTTACCACCTCCTCATGAAGTTTGAAATTCTTTTAATACATAAAGTTAAAAGAAAATCAATTGCCAGACTAAATTAGTTTTATGTTTTCATATTTAGTATATTTTTCTAGGCCTGATGAAACTTTAAAAGCCGTAACAGGACAAACAACCCTAAAACCAGTGAAAAAACTTCAAGGTAGCATCATGGCAGCATACATACATTTTCATAAAACTCAGAGATATCTATTTTCTAAAAGACTAATATCTTGTGAAATTAGTCAGCACATGGTATTGAAGCAAATGTTCAAAAAGGATTGCTATACCTTTGGCAGAGATATTTCATGGGGTGATGAAGCTGACCTCCTGGGGAACTGGGAGCCATCCTACATGTTTATGGATGTGCCTATTTTTCTCTGGGATCAACCCACCACCCAGAATCGAAGGCCAGTTAAAAGACACGATCTACCTTTGTCCTAAGCCCCTGCAGGGAATTCTGTGGTCTGGCCTCTGAGAGATGCCATCTCTCCTCTTCCACAAGATGTCAGAGTGATAACTGAGCTGTTCTCCCTCATCTGTGCTTTGACTCAGGATATTACTCCCCAGGATGCCACCATCCTCCTCTGCTGTAATAAGAAGGTTCACACCCTCCTGGCAGTCACTGAATATTGGTATCCAGAAAATTTACCTATCATCTCTAATTCTTTTTCCTATAAATCCTTTTGCAATCAGCATAGGAAGGCTCAAACACATCTCCAGGGAACATAAAAAAATCCCAGGGTAAGTCAGTAAATAGAACTCTACTGAGAAATTGGTGTTTTATGTGTAAACGAACCCTGGTTTTCAGCATACCCTAAGAGAGCCACCCAAACATAAGTATTTAGTTCAAGGGGCACATGTGCAATTGCACTTCTAAAGGTCCAAGTAAAATTAGATACACAAAAAATTACACATGTTACTAAGGGAAAAGGCTCTTTTTGATTATTCAAAGTATTGAGGGGATACAAATGTTTTGGGTCGCATGGATTGCTTTTGCTATGCTTAAGTCAGAGTCGTGTGTCTATTACCCAGTGCTCACTGTACGCGTCAGGTAGGATTTTAATCCTTCCCTTTTTCCCTGTGCGCCAACTTGATTTCCATGGAGTTTTCTTTCCCTCTGTGCACATCTGTGCTAATTGGTTAGTTCCAAGACCAACCTGTACATGTAGTGCTTGTTTTTCCATGATTTAGATGCTTCCCTTCGGATAATGGTCCTAAGTTCCCTCCAAATTGTTGCAAAAGGCAGAAAAAACATTTTGAGTTCATCACTCCCTCCAATTAGGTAAAAAAAAAAAAATGGCTAAAATTCTCTACCTTGAGTTTTATTCTATTTTGAGTTGGTTACAAGAATTTAAGAACCGCTTTCTCCCTGGCCCCACCTCCACCTATTTCCATTTCTTCTTGGAGTTTCAAAATGAAATCAGAAAGATGTATTCTAATAAAATAATTAAGAAAGGAAAAAACCACAAAAGAAACAAAACAAAAAAGAAAAAAATTTTAAAACAGGGGAAAAAAAACCTTGCCTAGACACTTGAAAACATGTATCTGAAATCTGACATCGGCTCTGCCTCAACAGTGAATTCCAGCTTCTGTCACTTGATTTGGTTTTCTTAGAGCTCAACACACATTTTTGCCATGTGCCCATGGAGGACAGTGAGGTCAGACTTATAACTGCAAAAGTGAATTCTTGATAAAATTCCTGACCTGTATTTCCTGTAGCACATGGGTTAAATAAGAAGATACCCTTTAACTTTTCAAGGTTTTAAGAATTATTGCCAATGTGGCGTTAATACAAATAATGGAATACAAATAAAGTCTAGAGGCTCGGGATGAGCCAATATAAAACAGACGTTTTCTGTTGAATCCTGTAATGTCTTATTTATACAGTGAAGATTTAATTTTCAAATATTTAAAATTGGAAAATGCGAATCTGAAATCTAACATTGTCTTTGAACAGTGAAGTCCAACTTCTGTGACATAGTTTGGCTTTCCTGGAGCTCAAAACCTTTTTTTTTTTTTTTAACCATGTGGACATTGAGGACAGTTTTAAATATTGAAACTTGCTTCTGGCTTTTGTCTTGCTCTGTGCTCAGCCCTCTTTGTTATACATTTACAAAATGTTCTGGTGGGATGCCATTATAATATTAACTTGTCTACCTATTAATTTATTTGCACATGGGTTTAAACACTGTCTGGTTTTAGGAAAACACAGCCCTCCTATTTGGATATTTTCCCTTTTCAATGTCCAAAAACCTTTCAAGTCTTCCTAAGACTTTGGTTCCTACAGTTTTCAAATAATAATTATGTTCCAAACTTTACAAAGGAGTTCAAACTGCAAATCTTATAGGCCCACACAAATTTGAGAGACCCTTGAATTTGGAGTTGAAATTGTAAGTCTATGAAGCTAATGAATTTCATTTATTCTTACATTGGTAAACTTGGCTTTGGCAACTAGTAGTGTGTCTAAACAAGTGTCACTGAGGTTAATGTAAAATGACAAGTATTTATATAAAATACTTTTATATTCATGATATGAAAAAATGTTTTCCTATGTTGGTGAACTAATGACACTGGAATTTCGTCTTCAGTAGGTTCTTGGTCTCAGTGATTCAAAGAATGAATCCAGGGACCACAGATCAGTAGTAAGACAGGATTTATCTTACAGGGAGAAGTACAAAAACACCAAAGTTCCTGGCAGAGAGCAACAACTCAAGTTGGGGGAAAGAACTCTCTCTCTGGGCTCTTTGTGCAGGGGTATATGTATATGGTTGCATGGGTCCTCTGTAGTTATATTTAGCGTGTGTGCGTTCTCTGTAGTTAGTTAGATTTAGCAGGGATTCTGTAGCTACATTTGGTTTGCATAGGTCCTCTGTAGTTATATTTGGCCAGGACTCTATAATGAATGGATGCAATCCCTTTGGTTCCCAGGTGTAGAAACTTACCAGAAATTGACCAGGCCTGGGAAAAGGGGGACCTGCAAGGGCAAGGGGAGGGAGACATTAAGGTGGTGGTGTCTCCTCAGCAGTTGTCTGGCCCCTCTGGCTCCTGGAACCTCTTGCTGACCGCCCCCCCTCACCAGCCCACTGCTTCCTCTACCAGCTGCTGCCACACCAACCCTATCAGGGCAGAGGTGGCAGGTCCTCCCCTCAGCTGGACCTAGCTGGCTGGGGCACCACCTGTCCTGTATCACTAAGAACATTTTAGCATATGTACAGTAATATGCAAATAGTCGCTTTGTTTTACACGGGTCTAAGGTAGTTCGTACATGGGAACAAACAGAAGAATGAGAACACAGATGGCCCATCTTTGTTGCGAGAGCTGCGGTGTGTAAGCCTGGTGTGGTCAGGTTTACACGGAGGGCTTCGTCCAGCTCCTCCCCTTCTGACCCCAGATCTCTTCTTACAACACTAAGGGTTCCCTCACTGCACAGAACGACCTCTTCCAGTGTGGATTTCTTAATACTAATCAGTGTTACATGAAAGTAAGGGGAAGGCAAGATTTTTGCAAAAATAAATTTAGAAAAAGATAAAAACTATTAGCCTGAAACTCTTTCCCTTTCATTCACTGCAAGTCTCCTCATCAAGTTTCACGTCTAAGTCCTCTGCATGAGGCCATTCCCGATTCCTGCAGTTAGACTCCATCAGTACCACGTGGAACACCACTGCACTCAGTTTTCAGAATCCACACTTCTGTTTTATGCCCCCACCTTTATTCTTTATTTATCATATTTGTTCCCTTGGGATGAGACACCATTCACTAGGTGCCTGTTTTCCGCCAGACCTAACATAGTGCCCAGGCCAGAACTTTTTGAAGACTCAATAAACGCTTCTGGAAGGACTGATGCCATCTATCTCAAATCTGTGCCACTGATACCCAGAATTCCTCTGGAACACAAAAATGTTTCATTACCCCTGTGAGAATGGGCTGGTTAGACTTTTATTTTTAAATACATCTTTGTGCTCAATTTAATACTGGTTTGGAGCTACAAGGAAAGTAAATCAGCATAATCAAAACTTCTACTTAAAAAAAAATTCAAACAAGCAGCATGCAAGGTTGTTTTTATTAAGCTTCATATTCAGCTTACAGCTAAGTATTTCAGGCATTACTTCATGTGACAAGCAGACAGGGTATTCTAGGAAACATTTCAAGACACTGCAGGGACTTCCTAACTAAGGAACAGAGCAGCTTACGCTGCAGTTAACATGTATGTTAAGGACTTCAAGTAGTCATTAAGGGAAAGAAGCTAAATGACAACTGGTCACTTCTATGAAGTGATTAATCTGGACAAATAGCTACAAAGAAAAGCACATGACTGATCCAGAGCTTGAGATCTTGCATCTAAATCTCTCTTTGTTATTTAGGATAGGACTTGGGGTCACATATCAGAAGGCAAACGATTCAGAATAAGCTTCATGTCAAGTTTTCTATGGATAGGATTAACACTAATATGATTAAGCTTGCTTTTTTAAAAAAAATGAAGAAAAGAAAAATTTTATACTGAAAACCCACTCTCTAGTGACAATAGGAGATGCTTAGCCACTGAAGAATTTCTTTCTATTCTTGTAGTTTTTATGAGTTCTTCTGAGAGATTTTCATTGTGACTGTCTTGACCTCAGTATATTCATGGAGACCATATTCTCCCCTGAAAAGAGAAAAAAAAAATACCCAAGAACAAATCATTTAGCAGAGGAGTGCAAACATTCTATAGTATATTATTGGTACAAGTTTGTTCTTGTTTATCTGTCCAGGAACAATGGAAAATATTTTCCGTGTACAGAGCGTTTTATGTAATTGCTAGCCAACCACAAACTATCTCGTCTTACATAAATCTCCTTCTGGGGAAAATGTTTTTAAAATTTCTTTCATTTTAAAGAATCATCTACTCTCAGTTGAATTTCACAGAAATTGTTCATTTCCAACATTACTTGATTTTAAAAGTTTTAACTATTCAAAAGACAATTCAACCCAGCAAGAATTTTGGCATTTCTAGTTGAGAGTCACGGAATACAGTAAGACAGGACAGGTAGTAATGTACAACCACTGAGAAGCAACACAATAAAACCATCAACTAGAGCAGAGCTGCCTTGACCGACTGCACAGAACTGGCACAGAAGTGATGAGGGCACAGAAATTTTCATTTTAAGGAGCCCGATAAGGCTTGAAACAAAATATCTTGCAGCTACAGTTTTAGCAATATCTTTGATTCTCAGTAAAACAAAATCTGACTTTTATTGTTAGAGCTTTCTGGTTTGTTTGTTTGTTTGTTTGTTTTTATTATTTTCTTTTTAGGAGGAGGACAAGGGTAAATTCAGGCTGTTCGGCTTTCGGCAGTTGTTGGTTTCCCCCTTGTATATAACCTCCTTTATCCTCTCCCATTTGCTTATTTAACTCTTCAGTCCACCCCAAATGATCAGGATTTAATCCAAGTCAATCTAGTAAGGACCCTATGAAGTTGTTATTAGGTTTATAACAGGGACCTCTTACCAGTATTATAAACTGACTGTGATTTACGCTCTGATGAGAAGATTAACTAGAAGGACTGATTAGGCTCCGTTATATTCTGTATTGTTCTGACAAGAGGATCAAATTACATGTATAAGAGAGTATTCTCAAAATCACAGCACTCATGCACATTTAGGCTTACAGAAGAATGAAGTCTTGATCCTTTTCTACCCCACCCTTCTTGTGATATAGACAGGTACATAGAAGACATCATTTTCTCCTAGGTAACTTAATAGTCTTGGACTGATTATTTTCTTGGGCAATTAAGCTTCTGAAAAATACCTTTTTAAAGCTTCAATGACCATGTTCTTCAAAATAATTAAAGGGTTTAGCCTCAGTTATCTGAAACCTACTATAAGATAGCATTTTAATAAGTATTTTATCTCATAGAGTTAGATAAATCAACCCATGATTTTAACTAAAAGGCTTTTCATTGTATTTGGGGTCACATGGGCACTTGATAGTCAGTAATAACTGTGACTATTGTCCTACTCAGGCTGAAGTGGGCTCTGCTCCTTAGGATTCATAGATGTCTGCTGTATCTGTGGTATAACACAAAATTATCTGTTCACATTTCTCCTTATCATACTCAGTGAGTGAGTTGCTGATTCTGTGCTTCTAAAACCTTCACTGTACAAATCCTCTGGGACCTTATTCAAAGACTGATTCTGACTCCATGGGTCTGGAATGAGGCCTGACACTGCACTTCTAGTAAACTTCTAGTGGCATCCACGCTTCTCACCCAGGGTTCACACTGTAAGAAAAAAGGTACCGCTAACAAGTTTTCCCTTTGTAGTGAGGTCAGGGATTGGCACTAATTAACAAGCACAGAAGAAATACTTGCTATCATTGAGCAAAAAACATTCATTCGCATTCTCACCCAGTAGTTTACAACACTTCCTAGTTCCTGTTCTATGGGATGGGAGGAAAGAAATACCTTGTGAGGTGCTGAGAGGCATTTAAGTTTATATGGGCATGCCAGCAACGTCTCCAGGGACCTATGTTAAACTAAATGAAAATTTCTACCTTGGGGGACAAATTGTAATTTAACTCTTAGTTATCTCTTGAGGTTATCATTTGAGTAATTCTCTTGAAAAATCTTGCAACAAATGACTTATTTACTAAATTCATTAAATTTAGGCTTGAACAGTAGCATTCTCAAAATGTAAAAAAATTCTGGAATTTTTTAAGTGAAAAAAATATAACCTAACTTTTTCTTTTATACTTTAAAGAAGAAAATCAGGTATCTCTATGTTAAGTTTAGGAAGTTACTGATGCTTGATTCCCATTTTTACTCCTTCTCTTACTCAATTTCCTTAGAATCTGTATTCAACATACCCAAGATAAGTTTGGTCTACTTAAGTTGTTTCATCCCTTTTGATTATTTTATCTTCATGATTCCCAGGAAAATGTGTTAATGTGTTGGGCCAGCAATGAACTAACCACCTCAGAGTAATCTAACCTTTGCTCCAGCTTTTTTGTGCAATGTAATTCTGCCAAAGGATTCCAGTAACAGATATTATGAAGAGAAGAAACTGGGGGAGGGGGAACCATCTGTTGAGTTTCTACTTTGACGTTATAAGGCTTGGGATTGGACATTCATTATGTCATAGGCATCTTGAGAGGAAAGTTAACATCTCCATTTGAAATATGAGGAGCAGAGGCTCAGCAGATGGACAACTTGAAGCAGGCAGTATGGCTAGCGAGCGGGGAGTCAGGATTTCAATGCAGGTTGGTCAGACTCTAATAATGACTTCTTGGATAAGCCTTGCACTTTCTATAGGTTGGTCTTTTTCTGCTCTTTATCTCCTCAATTCATTCTACACATATCTATGGCCCTTCACTATTCTACAAAGTAAAATCTGAGCCAATTTTCTTGACTTTAGGACTTCTTAATCTACATTTAACTCTAAAATCATATTTTTCACCCCATAAATAAATCTATACCAGCCAACTAAATTCACTGAGCCCTTCGACATGCCACATGGAATGTTCCACTCAAGAATGCCCTCCCCCTGCCCTAGACCAACTCTCATTGCTTCTGCAAGGTCTTTTGTTACTCTATCAGTTTCCATCCATTGAAGTTCCACTGGGCTTAGAACCATACCATCTTAAGCACAGAGAGGACCTTAAAAGACCTTCTGTTTTCTCTATCCACTTCTATTATCACCCACAATCCTTGACCTTGTGCAGCAGATGAAAACAGTAAGAGAGAGATGCTGTCCTAAATACTGTTATCTGGTGGTGTCCAGACATTTTTGTCCTTTAATAATTTTCCCTGCATTTTAACTGTTTTCCTACCTTCATTAGATATGAATCTCAATCTAGTATATATACTATGTATAGTCTTAATTTATTTTGAGTCTATTTTTACAAATTCCTCCTTCCACCCACAATTATGTAGAGGATGGAACATAGTGTCCTGTCTCTGGGACCTTATGTAGCAAGTACTAATGAATACATGTTGAGAATACTGACGAGTCATTCTATCATTCCTCCATTTGACTGGATCCCCAGAAACATTTGTCTCATTGTAATTTTGCTGACTCATAAAGACAAATGAGGAAGTCCATGGATATTTCCTGAATTCATGACCCTTAGAAACAAAGAAATGGCCAAACTTATTGTGTTTGATTCTACAGCATTTATATATGATTTATCTTTTCTCTTCATGAATTTTTAAAAATTTATTGGTAAATGGTAAGAAAATTTAAGAAATAAAATGGTTAAAATTGCTTGAATTAACATAACCAAATATACTTACTACTACTTTCTGTGTTTAGATATGTGAACATTTTCACAAAAATTCTATATATCTCAGCTTCAAAAGCAAAAGAAGGCTCATAGATACACTTATATATAAATTTTTCAGTCTAATCACTGTTATAAAACATGTGTTCCTTAGTCGAATTTCCCCTTAGGTTTACATTTTAGTTCCAAAAATAAATTATTTAGGTGATTTAAAATCTTAGAGTCTACATTGATAATATCTCAACAAATGAGAATCATTCCTTTTACTTTGATGTTTTCTGAGATAAGACACTTAATGTATTTATCTAGGAGGTCTGTTCAAATAACTGGAGTGTTCTTATATTTTTACATTTCTTACAATCACCAATTTATGCTTTTCACCTGTTCAGAAATGTTTCCCATATGGAGTACATTCATATAGAGAACAAAGAATTCTATAAGTAAGCAATATTTCTTTTCTTTTTTTCTTTCTTTCTTTCTTTCTTTTTTTTTTTTTTTGAGATAGAGTCTTTCTATGTCACCCTCAGTAAAGTGCTGTGGCATCACAGCTCACAGCAAGCTCAAACTCTTGGGCTTAAACGATTCTCTTGTCTCAGCCTCCCAAGTAACTGGGACTCCAGGTGCCCTGCTATTTTGTTGTTGTTGTTGTTGCAGTTGTCATTGTTGTTTAGCTGGCCTAGGCTGGGCTTGAACCTACCAGCCTCAGTGTACGTGGTTGGCACCATAACCACTGTTCTATGGGTGCCGAGCCAGTAAGCAATATTTCAATCACCAATATAAAGTACTCAATATAGACCTTTATGAATAGTAGAAGCTTAATAAATTGTATATCCTTTCTGCTATCAGCTTTCTGCACTCATGGGGTACAGCCAATATTTAAGAAACTATTTGGTGGTATAAATTCTTCAGGGAACAACCAGAGCAGGTTGTATGTAAGGTGCTAATTGTGCATTAATTCCCCAGGAATAAAAACCATTTTCATGAAGGTAAACAAATTAACAGAAAGTTATTCTTACAGTTCTCGTCCATTTCCAGACATCTTGAATCCACCAAAGGGGCACTGGGCAGACACCATACTATAGCAATTCACCCTAAAGAGAAGTACATTATAGGTGATATTTAACATATGAAATAACTCTTACTTGGCAAATTTAGAAGTTTGGAAAGCTCCTTAAGAGCTGCATTCATTGTGACCAAAAAGCAGCACTACAAATTAGCACCAGAAACAGAGAAAATGGTACAGATATGTATGCATCTATGGGTGGATGACCATGTTTAGAGCACAACTTGTCCCTGAGTATCTGTAGTTAGAAAAGCCAGAATAGCTAATATGCCACAGGAGGAAGGACAGGGTTTGCTGAAGACTGGCAGTTGTTAGATGAATATTCCTTACAACCTATATTCAATAAGCTTTGTAATTCTTTTGGGGTCTGTGTACTTATTAGACTAGATTCAATTTTCTTTTGCAATTACAATATGTATCATATTACTCAGTTCATTTTTTCCCCCATTAATTGGTTCAATAAACTACTTAAACAGAGGCTTTGGCAGGAGTTGGACTTAATTATCAATCTGTTTATTCCCTGTCATATTTCATAAAGTGTTTAAAGATGCTTATATAAACAAATGTAATTACAAAAATGTGAATAATTAGAGTTTAAGAAATAATTACAATAAAAGATCAAGATGGGGGGGAAATTAGAATGCAGTTATGCGGGCCATGAACAATTTGTTTAGCTTTAAATTTCCTGGTGGCCAAAGTTAAGAGCAAAATCTAATTACTTACATAATTCTCATTACTGTACTAAAGAAAAAAATATTTTGAAGGAGAAAACAATGTTCTTTTTAAATACCTTTTCTTCCCTATTATACTAGGTGGATAATAGTATGACTTTCAGGCAAAAAAATTATGTTATATTTGGAAGAGTGTAGTTATTGCTCTGTTCTTAAAATAACATTCAAATGTTTTCTCACTTAAAACACTTGCTATCTCAATCGTCAGCTTTGGACCACAGAGTTTTCATCCATGTCTCTCATCCTGAAGTAAAAGTCCCTTTAATAAACTTACACTTTTAAAAGCAGCTTGTTTCAGCTTTGTTTAATTAGCATGTAACTCACAAAACCACATACCTACTTTGAAATTGCAAGTAAAATGCCAGCAACTCTGGAATTCAATAATTGTCCTAAATATCCCAAGTAGCTATTAGGGTAGCACAATATCACAGCATTATTACACTCTAGGGTATACAGCAATAAAAGTATGATCTTCTCTGTTTTCATAGGATAGAAATTCCTGGCTGGAGATTCCTAAGCTACTCAGTGAAATGATGTCATCAAAGCTTCTTTATCAATGAAGCATGTATAATAACATTTTGTTATTCCAAAATAAAAAATCTGAAACTTGTCTTTGTTAAGAAACGCAGAAAGTATGTTTCATCTTTGACTCTATGTTGGTAATGAAACTATTTCAGTATAATATAAAGCAGAACCAAGGAATGTTCACTTAGAGAAAGCTGTGGGTTCAAAATATCATTGATCCACTCCAAGCATGTGTTTCCTCAAGCATAAAGTGAAGATGATATTATTTAATAGGTTGTATGTAAGGTGTGGTAGAATGTGCATATTGTAGAACTTGGTACATGGTATGTCTGTGGTAAATGGAGATAATACACATATGTACAAGTGTAATGCTAAATTTTATTTGTGTTTTTATTAGTCATAGGCAAATTCTACATTGATCATTAGCCATACTATTTAAGAAAGTGCTTGACTTTATTTAAAAGTGTTAGAAAGAAAACATCTCATTACAGAAAGAATCAGGCTTACATGCAGTAGTCCTTAGTTCTGCTTGCAAATTAGAATCACTTTTAAAAATGCCCCTTAAATAAAAAGTCTATTTGTCTCAATAAGTGAGACTGTTTTAGTTGGTTTTCTGTTGCTATAACTGAATACTACAGACTGGGTAATTTTTAAACATTAGAAATATACTTGGTTCATGGTAATGGAGGTTGGGAAGTCAGGATGGCATTGGTGTCCTGTGAGGGCCTTCTTGGTAGAACATCTCATGATGGAAAAGCTCTTTTAGGGCATGTGAAAGAGCAAAGCACAAGTGGCTGTACTCATTTTTATAACAACCCTCTCTCACTATATAACTAACCAGCTTCTGCAATAACAGCACTAATTTGCCTTCATCACCTAAATCTCCCATGAGGCCTCAATTGTCAACACTGTTTTCATGGCAAGTAAATGGGGAGGACGAGTGAAGGGAGGGTAATTGGTGGAACCACACCTACGGTGCATACAAGGGTACATGTGAAATTTGCTAAGTGTAGAATATAAAGTCGTAACGCAATAACTAAGAAAATGCCGTGAAGGCCATATTAACCTTTATATACGTTAACCTATATTAACCATTAAAGTTTGATGAAAACATTTCAAATTGTATATAAAACCAGCACATTGTACCCCATGATTGCATTAATGTACACAGCTATGTTTTAATAAAAATTAAATTAAATTTAAAAAAAAAGAAAGAAATGAAAAGGCTGCATGATTTAGGTTTGACTTACCACACTGTCCCTGCCTGCAGAGCCGAGGAGACTGTTACAGCTTTATCAAGATCTTTCGTAAAGATTCCTGCTGATAATCCATAGTGAGTATTGTTTGCTCTCTTGATCACATCATCTAAAGATTTAAACTTCATGATTTGCTGCACTGGTCCAAATATCTATACCACAAGAAATGGATTAAGAAAATCAAAATGATAAGTTAGGACTAGATGCTTCAAATGATACTGCAATTCTTTTTAAACAAACTATCCTAAATTGATTAAGACTTTGCTCTAACCTCAAGCCTATATGTAAAAATTCAAATAGGTAGCTACAGAAATGGTAGATGAGAATAGATGATGATCATGTGTTCAGTTATTTTTGGAACAAGATAGGGTACAAATAGTTAAGGCAATATTTATTTTTTAGATGTTGGAATTCAGCTTCCAAGAACTTATTAAATTGTGTTTCAAGCTGTTAATTTTAGATTTTCTGTTTCACTTTTAAGGAATTTAAAATCCTCTCCCCAGTTTTTCTCATTTTCCAACTTACTACCTATAACAATAAGACTCAGAAAACAACCCTGCCCTTTTGGATAAATGACTAGGAAAAGATTAATCCTAGTAAATTTGTTTTAAATACTAGAATACCACTGGTTGAAACATTAACCATTTTACTGTATTTAGATATTTTCATAATTAGTCAATGTAGGTAAAACAACATGTATTTTTCTTTAGATTCTACTTTGTAGGCAAATCTTGTGCAACTTACGTATATTAATGGTTTCTTATTATTTAAATCCTGAACCACCCTGTACCAATCAAAGCCTGACTTCATTGGCAATGGCTACAGTTTCAGGACAAAACCCAGAAATCAATATTTGCTTATTTCAGCCTATACCGCTCTTGCTTTTGCTAGACTTTCTAACTAGTGCAGCCCGACTTCAAGTCATTCCATATCTCAGCCCCAGGAAGGAGAAAGACAACTGGATTTTCTCTTAAAAATTACGCTGCTACATTATATTTCAATTAGAAATTTATGAAAATAAAGTAAAGGGGTGTGGTTTCCTCTGTGTGTTATCAGGATTTTCTGGGAAACATTAACGAGGGGAAGCACAAATCAGAAATGATAAATGGTTTTCTGCTTTAAAGGTTGGTGTAGGGGGGTATCAATAAATACCAGTTGAGTGCAAAGCTACAGTTGTAAATCTAATTGTGAGATAGTAACCTAGGAACCAGACATATAGCAGCTGCTGCAATAAATGTGTTCATATTTTGCATAATTTTAATCAAACATAGCCCATGGCTCTAGGCTCCCACTTTGAAGTATAAGCTAGCTGTTCCACTATGAACACTGTAGAAACACAGTGAATGTTTACCTGGTCCTTTTCATCTGGTATTAATCAAGATATGCAAGGACAACAGCTCTAATCTTTCTTTCTACTTTTGTACAGTATAGTTAAATATTTGATGAGCATGAACATATATATGTATAAAAATGTGTACCTTCAAACATATATATACTTAAGTATTTAACTACAGCATACAAAATTAGGAAGTCTAAGAACTGAAAAGTATAGGGCTAAGAGCACATGGATGGTGGGGAATGATATCAGGATGAATGCTATTTTCAAATACAGTAGAACTTCTGTAAGTTGACCACCCAAGGAACTGTAACTGGTCAATATACAGAGGAGATCAACATAAAGAACTGGGCCCTCTAAAATGATACATACATGTGGTACATGTCCAGTCTGAAAATGAGGGTAACTTCAGGAGGTGGTCAATGTACAGAGGGGTCAACTATGGAGCTTCTACTATAGACAGATGGCTGTTATGTAGAAAGAGTCCACAGAGCAAACATGGAACCAGCAGTTAGCACGTAAGTGCTTATTTAGTTATTTTTGTGGTAAGAACACTTAAAATCTATCCTTACCAATTTTCAATTATACAGTGAATTATTGTTATTTTAATTATAGTTGTATATTTACAAAGATCTCTTGAATGTATTCCTTCTACCGAACTGAACTTTTCAATACTCAACCCACATCTCCCATCCCTCACATCCCATTCCCTTAAGCCCCTGACTACCACCCCACTCTCTGCTTCTATGAATTTCACTGTTTTACATTCCACCTATAAATGAGATCATACCATACTTGTCTCTCTGTGCCTGGCATATTTTACGTAACACAACATCCTCCAGGTTCATCCACATTGTTGTAAATGGCAGGATTTTTTTTTCCTCCTCATTATTTTAAAGTTCTGAGGGAAGTGCCTAAAAATTGCCACATATCTTAATCTGGGTTTGGCTGAAAATTTTTGGCTGGCCCAATGGATTCCTTACTATTTTTAGTCTTGATCACAAATAAGCCTTTATCAGTAACAAAGAGAAGCATTTATTGAGAAAGACCTTCAAAGAGCTGAGAATCTTAAAGGGACACTTTGTATGCACACAGGCAGACAAGGCACAAGAACGTCAGGAACAGAACGAAACCATTTACCTCCTCTTTGGCGATGCGCATCTCATCTGTAACATTAGAGAAAACCGTGGGCTGGATAAAGTAGCCTTTACTCCCCCAGGGGCCTCCGCCACATTCCAGTTTGGCCCCTTCTTTCTTCCCACTCTCAATGAGATCAAGAATTTTATCATATTGTTCCTTGTCAATCTAGTTGAAAAATATCACATGGAAAAAAAAAAGTTACAGGTTTGTAAAGATAACACATTGGTCAGCCTGTTAACGAGGTTTCAAAATGCTAAGATATGGCCATTGAATCAAACATTGGCCTAATGGAGGCTCTGATTCATTCCTTAGATAATTTTATTTCATGAGTTTCTAGAGAAGAACCCTTGAAGATAAGACATTTGTACTATAGTTTTATAAGAAAAGCATGTTAATGCCACAAACCTTTCACAAAATTATCATTTCTTCACTCTGGAAGAAATGCCTGTAAATAATCTAACACATTAACCTGGAAGTTGTAGTCCTAGTTGAAGTAAAGGGAGTGAATACAGGAAAAGAGAACTTTGCTAGTGGGTTTAATAGGACACGGTGGTTGGAAAGCAAATGCTTTTAGATTTCTCTTAGAAGACTCCTGTGCCTATGCTTAGATCCCCCGTTGTTGAACCATCCCCTCTGGCCTGCACCATGCCCTTGGATATCACATTCTGACTGTGGTTTGGGTTTCCTCTTAGTTGAGGTTCTTATGAGACCAATAGTAGGTTTGATTCCAATTTCTGCCCTCTCCTAATTGTCACCATCCTTTTTCATTAAATGGGCCACATCTAAATATATGATAAATATTTCAAAACTTCCATGGTCATTTAAACAATATTTTTATAAGAAAAACAAATGAGTTGAGAGTTCTGGTTGTGAACCAGAAACACATACTTGTCCTCATGCACTGAAATGGGAGGCTACACATTATCCCTGTTCCTGTTTGGGGAGGTTGACTGACTGGGTAACTCTTAGACTCCAAATCATGGTAAAGACTGCCTGTCTCAGGTGTGGAGGGGGTTAAGGATTAAAGGCAAAACAAGAGATCCAGAAGTTGAGGTGGAGGGTAGGGGCTCTTTCCAGTTTAACTTGTCTCTTCTCATTACTTAAAGAGTATTCTTTATCTTCTCTGCCTCTGCAAATCTTCATCTTTCCAGGCCCCAGCTCCCACATCTAACTAGATTAAGTGCTATTTGAAACCAGAAACCATCTTCTAAAATTTGGCACAATGTTTGATACAGCATTGTTCAATGATCTTTAGTGCACCACATTTAATAGAATAACATGTGGTTTAATAGAATAAAATGTTCAAATAAAAAACATTCTTTCATTTCTCACAGATTAAGGGACAGCAGCATGGGTTTAAGAAGAGCTATTTTATTGAACACAACCAGACTAAGGTGGCAGTGTTAGAGACTCTGCTTGGTGAAGATATTCTAGTTTTTCAGTGAATAGTCAAGGATCCACAGAGCTCCATACATAGCTTCTTTGTTCTAATCCAAGATAATAATCCCCCAGCATAATTTTTTGGTGTTTATTTCAAGATGTTTCCGGAGTCATAACGATTTCCTGTCTGTGAGCACACAGGATACTTGGTGACAATCCAGTTCCAGCCTACGTACTAGAGAAAGGACCTGAAAGGATTTGTTTGCTGGGAAACTTCCCTGGTCACTAACTTCTAAAACTACCAGGATTTCATGTTTCAGTGCCTCACTCCTGATTTGTGGTGCTACAGGCCACAGCTCTGGTGTCACTTGGTGCTTCTCAGTCCCCACCCCAGACCTAGTCAATCCTCAGGATATTCAGATATATAGGAAATACTGGGGAGCACTATGCTAGAGCTTGGGGTGAGTGATGGAAAATCTCAGCTGTCCTTAGGGACAGATGCAGTTTGGTTTGGCTTATTTTCCTTCAGTGTAAATATAAATCTTTCTCAGGAGGTGTCAGAGTGACCCTGTATGAACTTAGCCTTCTTTCTGGACCTCAGATACTGCTCAGTAAGGCTAGGATGTATCCGGGCTCTTCACTGTGTTGATAGGCCTGTCGCTCATGGAAATGCTTGATATCAGTGATATAACAGTCTCAGAGTACACATTTGCATGTGTTTGAATGTGCAAATTCTTTGATTTCTTAGGCTTGGTGGGTTGAAGAAAAAGACAAGTTCAGAAAAGACATTGATGCATACTTCAAATTATTTAGAAACCATAGGTCAATGAGATCAATGAGAATAAATAAGTCACTGACCTGTAAGATAATTACCACAATAAAAAAATACATGTTTCCATTTATATTTATTTAACAGACATTGGAGCATACACAGTCAACTATGCCTCTGACGGATTCATTGTATGGATTATCTCATTTCCATGCAGAATGAACCCTCATGCTCAGTACTGCTATCCCTATTTTACAGATGAGGGAGAAGAGTATCATGAAAGTTGTGTTTTTAATTCAGCCTACAATTCAAAAGCCCATCTTTCTACACCCTAACAAGATACCACTCTGCTGGTAATGACAGCATTGTTTACGTGGATATCATTTTCAAATTAAAACATTGATTTTTTCCATTGAGGAAAGACCCATTTCCATTGAGGAAAGGCCCATTTTTGTCTATGAAGCCCAATAGGAAAATCACTTTACAAATTAAACATACACATATAGGTGTACAAACACACTGAAAATATACAAAATATACATCATTGTATGTGTATATATATGTATATTGCAACTGAGCCAACCCAAATGTTTTGTTTGTAATCTTCAAAATTATCCTTGTAAAATTTTTTTCCCCAAACAAAATTTTTCAGTGATTAGTTTGTCTGTAATTGTTTTGTTTTTACACTATAAAAACAAAATATAGTTTTACACTATATTTAAAAAGCCTCAGTTCGCCCTGCTACCCACGGATCAGGCAACAAACTAAGCTGAGTGAGAGAGTGTACCTTTTCCACAAGCCCTTTCTCCTCATAACAGATGAATATTTTTAAAAGTAAAGAAGCTTTGGGGGCTTTTCCATCTCATTCCTCAAAGTTCCAGCATACCTACTTATTTTACTTCCTCAGAGCAGCCTATGATAAAAATCTGTTCATGTATAGCGGTGATAGTTGCACATTAATTGGCTCACTGGGTTATTTACAATCCTATGAATGGGGATTTTTATTATTATTTTTTTTTCTGGTTTGGGATTCATGGAGGGTATGAAGAATTAGGTTACACTGATTGCATCAGTTAGATATAGTCCCTCTTGTCATTGTGTCCCACCTCCAAGTGAATGGGAATTTTAAAAAGTCTACTTTAACTCCTTTCTCTTAAAAATAATGAGGCATTCCAGCTCAACTTCTGAGCATTTGGTGGAATTGTGCAGAGTCCCTCATGGAGGAACGTCTTGCCTAAACAATGTTCAAAAATTAAGTCTCTCAGATAATCTCTGTTATCTTCTTTTCAGATCTATGTGTCCATCATCTCTCCATTACCTGTCAATCAAATAGCAAAAATGCTTTTTTTTTCCATAAATAGATACATAGATAAGTATTTAGAGAGCAAAATAATCACAAGAGAAACCTTAGACTCCCATCCTTTTATGAAATGTGTAAACAAGTCACATTGAATATATTTCTGGGTATCCATTTGAAAAGTTACCAAATATGACCAAAATTGGTGAGTACTTTTATATACCCCTTAATCTCAAATACAAATATAAAATATTATGAGCTTAATATAAAACAAATTATTACTTCATTTACCAATTAAGGAATTTTAGGAATTTCAGGGTTTAATATTTGAAATTCTAAGATCCCTATATCCTAAGATTTTTCTACTTTGATAACTTGAAATTAGCAGAAAATGTTCCAAATATTCTTCTAACTTACTTAGAATGTACACTCCATGAGGTCAGGGATCAGGTCCTCCTGGGTCCTTTTGGTACTGCCAGGTCCCTATCTTAAGGTTTAGCTGAGACCAGTGTTCACTAAATTTTAGTTCACTGAATTTACTTTGGCTTAGTGAATAAGCCAAGAATAGTGTTGGGTTTCACATCAACAGCCCAGAACAGTGTATAATTTTTAGTGTTAAAGAATAATGCCTCTAAGTTTAATGTCTATACTCTAGACTAGGATTTCTCAGCAGCAATGCTACTGGGATTTGGGGTCAGATAATTCTTTGTTTGGGGTCTCTTACACATTGTGTGATGTTCAGTATTACTTCTGGCTTCTACTCACTAGATGCCAAGAACTGAAGTCTTAACAATGTTAAAATGTCTCTAGACATTCCCAAATGTCCCCTGGAGGAGGCAAGCAAAATTGCTCCTCCTTGAGAATCACTACTTAGGGGCAAGACCCTAACAAAAGGCAGGAGGAAATGCAGAACCTGAGGTCCAGGAGCTTGAATGACAGAACAGGAACAGAATACTGTGCAAGGAAGCGGGAAAGGTAATCTTTGGGTAAAGGAGAAAGATACCTTCATTGACATTAGTTCAGAGAAATGTGACTCCCTAGGGGAGTCACTGAACTTTAACAACTAAAGTAAGAAGTTTACTGCAAACCTGGAAACTCAGGACCTTTTAGGACACTCACACTATCATTGAGGGATCAGAGTAACTGAGACTTTACAGAGGATTTGGGGGGGGGGTGGGATGGCCACTGACAGGGAGGCTTGATACTGAGGAAGAAATTATAGTATTAAGAACATTGAAGTGGGCAGAGAACTGTATATATGAATCAAGAGGCATATAGATTGAGGAAAGCAAGAACTTTATTAATTTCTCTCCTGTCTTTAATTTATACCACAATTCTTACACTGTTTCAAGGCATGAAAACTGGGGAACACAAACACAGAATGATGTATAACTAGGAATTGGTTATTTTTAATCACCAAACTGGCACAGTATCATTACGTAGAAAGACACATGGATGGGAAATAACCTCACTCAGTAAAATCTAGGCCTAAAGAGGAGACTTCACTCTTGTCCCCTGAAAATGCTATCCCTTCTACTGTCTACTCACCTGAGGGCCTTGATTTACTCCTGGAGTCAGAGGATTTCCGAGAACGTACTTCTTAGCCCTCTCTACGCTCCTTTTTACAAACTCATCATAAATTGATTCTTCCACAAAAAGCCTGGATGCAGCAACACAACATTGGCCCTGGTGGTAGAACAAACCTTGGTGTGCAGATTCAACGGCATTGTCCACTGCAAGGAAGACATTCACATTAACAGAGACAGACTGTCAAAGAGTATATATTTTTATACGTATTTCTTAGAGGCAATACTGTGATAAAGAAAAGTTATGAGTTGTATGGTCAGACATGGGCTCAATACATTCTACCTCTTAACAGCCTAGTGACTATTTTTTCTGATGCTTTATTTACCATGGAAATAATAGCAACAAATAATAGGATCTGAAAAAAGAATAGTGGTTATTATTACAACTTTAATAAGGACATTAGCAAGAATGTGGATTCGATCATAAGATCAAGCCTCGCTGCAAATGATTTTTATTGAGGCCTTAGGTTTTAATCTAGGTAACAAAGAAAATCTGAAATGACTATTACATTGAATGATCTCAAAAGATTCTTCAATACCCTCATTACCAGGAAAAGGGTTCATTATGGAAAAAATTAAAACTCAGCAAAAACTCACTAATACTCAGAATCACCACCCAAATTATGACCTTACTCTAGCAAAGATACTCAAAATCTACTTAAGTATATCACATTATTGAATATATGCCTATAAGTTATTCTTATCCATTTATTTTAGGTAGTAGATTGTAACTTTAAAGGAAGAAAAAGATTATTCACACAATGCACGGCTCTTTCCCCCAAACTCCTAAACAAGAACAAAGTTTTCTTTGCATTTTAATTTTCTAAATACTAAAGATCCAATTCAACATTATAGAAATTGAGTGTTGTTTTTAGATAGTTTGTCAACCAACCCAGCTGTTTAAGTTGTTGTGGGAGTGGTTTACAGAAAGACTTAGAAAAATTAGAAATCCTGTCATATTTACAGAATGTTTTATAAGGAAATATGTACAAAAACTTCATTTAAGATCATAGTAGCAACATAGCCTAATTATTCCATGAAGCATTTGTGTTTGTGGCCTCTAATAAATAATGTAGCTGGGAAATAAAGAGTTAGAGGAATGTTTCCTTTCAGTTTCTTCTTATTAACTTTATTTAGGGAGTAATTTTGGAATTTTAGTTGGTAATAATAATCAGAATGTACCCAGAACATTACATAGTGGGGTGTCATGATAATTGTAGATTTAATATATGTAAACTCAACTATATATTCTATGAAAAAGAGAAAGAAATTATTTAAATAGAAGGTGTGATTTTCTTCTAACCATTTCATTTAATTAGCATATAAACCAGAGAGAAGGAAGATGGCAAACGTAAAACTGCCCTGCCCCCCATTTGGTCTCAGTCCAGCATGGCTCCGGGTTATCTCATTATGCTTAATGTGACGCTAATAATTAAAGGTATAGAGTTTGAAAAAATACATCATGGCCTTTAAATGTCAAACATAAATGTTATGGAGAGTTCAGGTGAGGAAAAAAATCAACCCCTTCCAAACCAGGAAGAAATTGCATCTGTGTTAAACTTATCCACCTGTTAAAATTTTAGGATAACTTAATAATATTTAAAGAATAATTCTGTACCCCAATTAATTCCTTACATTTTAATGTTATAGGGAATCCCTCTTGTAAAATGTAAGTTCACTATATGACATTATCAGACTCTAAAATGGAAGAAGGGAGAAGAGTCAAAGCAGCTCAGACTCACGGTCGGCATCAGCAAACACAATGCACGGGCTCTTGCCCCCAAGCTCCAGGGTCACCCTCTTCAGATTGCTTTTCCCAGCAGCTTCCTTGATCATTTTGCCAACCTGAAATGGAACATTATGAAGGAGAAGGCTTAATCTGCTCTCATGAAGACAAGTTTATTTAGTGTTTTAAACTTATATGATGTTTGTGCCATAGTTTAAACTTCAGAGTTAAATTAAATTTGGGTGAAACCCTAAATGACATTTTTCAAGATTCGGAACCTGTAGATATAAAAGGCTCCCTTCTTCAAGTATACAGACATAGGAAGCAAGAGGAAACCGCCCGTGAGCAAGAGAACGGAGACTTGGAACATGAGATTTGATCTTAATGTGTTCGTCTAGGCAGGAGGCTATTTTTCATTATAATCAGAACTTCATCTCTCTGCGGATTGATCAGACATACCATGACCCAGTCACCACTTACCTATTATGACTTTTCATCCTGCACTGGCATCCAGAGAACTCGATCCTGCCAAACTGCACATTCATCACCTCCTGGCCTCATCTCTCTTCTCACTATACACCCACCCCAACCTGGGTTGCCTTCCATTCTAGCCTTCTTTGGGTTCCAGCTCACATTTTAGCTTCTCCTTGAATCCTTCTCATGTCTCTAGGTAGAAATGACTCTCTTCTCCTGGCCTTCTGAAGAACCTCCTGAAGCCTCTGCCTCACATGGTTTTATTTGTATATACACAGATTTCTCAAACAGATTGTTACCTCCTTACAGTGACAATATCCTGACACTGCCTACCTCCCCTCTGTAGTATCCACACAGTGGGCTCATTTCACTGTTCACTGACAGCCTTCTCTCTCTTTCCTCCCTTGTAACACATGCAGTTTGAACAGTGGAGTTAGCAAAAGAAATTGGGTCTGTGCTCTGTGCTGCTATTTCTGTTAGCTGGAATCCTAACTTCTTTAATGGTAGTTGCCTCTACCGTTTTTAATGTTTTTTTCTTTGTACATCTCTTCAATATTACTTTCTAGAATTGCTTTTATTTTTGTCTCCACAATGTAGCTTTTTAAAATAATGATTTCTTCTTTCTAATTTTTATTGAGGCCTTAATCTACTAAAATGATCTTTGCTTTTTTTTTTTTTTAAACATAATTCCCCATATTTTGCCTCTTTTCTTCTCTGGGTTTCTTTTCCTACTCCTCTTGTCAGATTTTAATAAAAAGTTTCCATCCCAAGAGAACAAAAGACAAGTAGATGCTTGCTAAGTATATGTTTAAACATTATGTGGTTACTGAACTGCTTCTGTGCATTATAGAATAAAGCATAAACCGGCTCATGTTTCCATCTTAAAGATTTCATGGTTCTAAATCAACCCCCTGAGAATAGATTAATAAAAGTCAACTAAAAGAGACTTGCCTCGGGGAACCCTGTCTGATGTGTTTCTTGGGTCACATTTTCCTTCCACAACATACTCCCCAGGACCACTTTCAAAAGTTGAATTTTCACTTAAGGTGATTAAGAATTTTCTGTATTCTGTACAACATACTTTGCCTTTTCCTTTCAAGTTCCCTAATTTTGTGCTGCATCTTTTTTTTTTCTCTTTTCCTTTTTTAAAAATTAGGTTTATTGGAGAAACTCTATTAAAGTAGCTATCTCGGAGAAGGGAGTACAATTAGAATTATTTTTCTAAAAGCTCCATATGTCAGATGGGCTAGCATAAAGAATGGTTAGATGTATGGATGAAGAAGACAGGTTACACTTTTACTTAGTGCAAGTTGAAGTGGGAAATAAAAGAATTGCTTGAATTTTCCCAAATGTCTCTAAGCCCAAGCAAGGACACATCCATTTTCTGTCTCATGATTTCTTTTTCCTTACTTAGAAAAAGGTAAAGATTCATCATTTTTCTCAAAGAGGTTTGCAAAGAAGAAAAGATAACAACTAGTAAGACTATAGACCAGTGATTTTCAACCAATGTGACATGAAAAATTTCAAAGTTCATTAATTAGATTTTTTCAAAAGAAGTTCAAAGCATAGTAAATATATTCTTTTTTTTTTTTTGATCAACATAATTTAAATGTGCTATGGAAGTTTAACAATAGGTTCAAGTGTGCTGTGAGATAAAAAAGGTTGAAAAAACACTGCTGTAGACGAATAGTATATTCCACAATACTATTTTGGCATTGCCATGTGGGCCAGAAGTAGCAAAAGCTCCTAAAATGGTATAACCTCTATGTCTTGCACAATGTGGGTAGGATGTTGTTTTATATTAATCAATGGGACCTTAAAATTCTTACTTTGCCAAAAGTGTTGTTAGAGTGACAATCATTGCTGCAATGTCCGTGATGTAAACAATCTATCATTTGCCCTTTTCATGATCTGCCTAGCAACAAACTGGAAGCTAAAAGGAACCCCAGAAAGAGGTTCCAGGGAGCACGGACCTAACTTCCATGAATGGGAACTTAAGATGGGGTTTTCTGTGTGGCTCCTAATTCTTTAATACTTAAATTAGTTACTACACTGTCTTCTGGAGATAGTAATGAGTAAGAGAGTCTTTTAGGATATTTGACAAAGGAGAGAGAGACACATAAAGAGGCAATGGGCATGCGCTCTTGTAATGGTACATTACAGACAATGGGAACCCAGGTAGGGTATTTTTAAGTTCAGAGTGCTCCTGGGACAGCAGGGGTAAGGAGAAAGCCAGCAAGGGAACGTGTGGTGGGAGGCAAGTTAGAGCAGGTTATGACCATGCATGAACAGAAAGCACGTGGGAATGAAAAGTACATGGAATTATCAGGAAGTGATGGGGCAGAGTGGCAGAGATGGAGATAAATCATAGGCACAGGAAGGTCTTCCCTCATACCTTCTAAATTAATGTGAGAAATTAAAGAGCGAGAAAGGAAAGGGAAAGTAGAAATGAGTACCGGACACATAATAATGCCATTACTGAGTACTTGGTAAGGTACTAAATATTTCACTACTCATTAGCTCACTAATTTAATTCTGTAACTCAAAGGTGATATTTTTGTTGTCTCCACTTTACATATGAAGAAACTTAAATTAGCAAGGATATTTCATTTTCAAAGACACACTGCTAGGAGGAATAGAGTCAGAACAGTAGCCTCTAGTCCAGATGAACTGGGGAAATGAATAGGTGTAGGACCTAGGCCTTGAAAACTACATGGATTCCCTCTGGGGAAGGTCTAGATGTCCAGATTGGAGAATTTGTTCCCTTCTCCCTTTACCTTCCCTGCTATAATTTCAACCTGTGATTTTAAATTTTAAAATTTGTTGCCATGTCTTAAACATTCCCATTTGTTTTGTTCACAGTAAATCCTGAATGTGGGGTTGGCTTTCCCTGACCTCAATTAGGGATTTACAGCATGCAACCTCTTTCTACACTATCTCTATGAAAAACAAAGAAAAAATACACATGTATTTACCTCATTTTAAAAAGATTTTTAAAAGAAAAAAAAATTGAAAGCATTCTATAATAGACATACTCTTATTTGACAATGTGAATGTTACTTTCTTTGCATTATCATTATTATTATTGCTTAATATTTCGGTGCAGCAATTGTCTGATTTCTTTTCTAAATGTATTTATCTTCTTTCGTTCTTTACGAGGTTTTTGTTTCTAGTCCTTGTCTTAAACATTGCTATTGTTATTCAATTTTAAGCCTTTTTTAATTTTGTGAAGGCAAAAAGTGGAAACCTAATAAACACATGTATATTTAAAAAAAGAGATTGATTTTCTACCATTTCTGTTCTTTATGTAAATATTGCCTTATATTGGAGTGGGTAATTAGAATTATTAAAATAAGCAAGTTAGCCTCACTTCCTTATCTAAAACACTCTTTTTGCTTCTCAATCTCTGGGGAGTTAAAAAAAAAAAAAGGAACAAATCCTTAAAACATAGAGCAAGTTCTAGTTCCCTTTTGAACCTCGTTATTCCCTCCCTTGAGCACTTTGTATGTATCTGAGCACTTATCACATCCTGCCTCGTTTCTTACTTGCCTTAGCAGCTCTCTAAGAAGGAGTAACCCTCACTCTTCCTCCTCTATCCTGCATACCAATGGAAGGTATACATTGTTTTTTGCACTGAACATCTAACAAAGTAATATTATCTAATAAAATGACTTAAAGATTTTCTTTGGAGGGGTACAATATGATCTCGCCACTTTCTTTTGCTTAAGATAGAAAATCATCTTAATAAATGGGAATCCGTTTCCCCAAAGTCTATCTCTCAGGCTGCTATCTCTCTCTTTCTCTCTCCCTCCTGCACCTCCCCGGTGCTCATGGATGGAGTCTTGTTCTTTTACTTTTTGGGTGGCCAAGAGTGAGCCAGACAGGCAGAAAATTTAGGCCAGGCCAATAGTAACATCAAGGTAAGCTAAGTTTCTGGTTCCCTTTCTGAATGTCTAAGGAAGAGAGAGCCTTAAATTAGGAACTAAAGGTAAGGCTCTACTATTTAATTTTCATAATCTACAGGATAACATCATATTCATTCATTCACATTTTCTATTCTAAACCTTACTAATTATGAGGCAAGGTCTGTCTCAGTGACCATATTTCTCATTAGAAATAATGAGAATCCATTAAAAGTAGTTCATACCATCGTCTGAGTTTGTAATGGCTACTTTGTTTCATCCAACCTATATCCAACACATATCTGAAGGCTAGAATAAGAAATTATTCAAAAGAATTTTTAAGAAAGTGGTGACTTAAAAATAATTACGTAAAACATGCTTCTGAGAGTTGGAGATGCAGAAATTCTTAACTTCCGACCTGAGTAAAGGATATTACCTCTGTTGATCCTGTGAAGGCCACTTTGTCTATATCCATGTGAGAGGAAATGGCTGCTCCTGCAGTCGGCCCGTAGCCAGGGACAATATTCACGACTCCAGGAGGAAACCCTGCCTGAAAGGTAAAAAAGGACAATTCAGCTAAGTGATTTTATTCTTGATTATTATTGTTATTATTCTAGTTTTTATATGTTATTAACAATACATTACATCTATTATTAGCCCACATAAAAATAACCTCAAGAGTTGCAATGCTAAAGGTCCATTTCTCCTCAGGGTGAGTCCACATTCCATGCGTTACTATCTCAAATTCCATCTCAGTAACTCACAAAGAAAGTGTAAGTGTTTGGTAAAATACTTTATCCCTACCAGTAAAAATAAAAAGTTAATGAGATCTCACATTTTTAATTTCTACTTGTTGATTACTCAGGCAGAACAGCCAAGGTGCAAGCCCCCACTGGCATTGTTCACTCAGTAAAATGTTAAATAAGTACGATCATTCCATTTATGATTGAAAGTCATGATTTATTTCAACCCTAGTTAAAGAATTCAGTTGGAAAGTATGAGAACTGAGTAGGATAGATTAAAATTTCATGTTAATTGCATCAAACTATTTCATCTTGACATCCCTTTTGCCTGTTTTTAATATGAAATGAAGAATATTTTTAAGATACAAGTTCAGATTTCCTAAATTGAATTTTTTGGGTGACTGACATTTGTTTTAAAGTTTCAGTAAGATATGAAGGAGAAAGGACAATGAATTGTTTGCAAGAAAAAGTACATCAATACAATATAGACAGTTGATGGCAATAATTTCATGTGCTCTTTTGCCACTTTCATCAGTAAGACAAAAGCAGAAGAAACCATAATAGAAAAGCTTATATAAATAAGTATACAGGTTGGACATAAAGTTTGTGTGCAATTGAAACAGTAAACTAATTTCACTAAGATTCAAATAGTAATTAATTTCAATTGCACACGATCTTTATCTCTACCCTGTATATCCACTTATGGATAGATGTGTTTCGAAATAATGTGGGCTTATAGTACAAACAAGAATATTTACATAGAAACTTCCCATCTTCACTTACAGTTTGAACAAGTTGGCAGAAACCATCAGGCCATTAGCGGCAGTGACAAATCAACTTAACATTTCAAAATTTATAAGAACATTATATCAATTTTAATATGAGGGAATTCTGGGAAGATGGCTGACTGATAGCAACCCTCATCAGAGGCTCTGGAGCAAAGGAAGAAAAACTGGATGGAATTGGCCTCTATGAAGCCAAAGACGGGGAGCTGAGCCAAGAAAGAAGTTTGGCAAGCTGTAACTCCAAGGAAGAGCATTCAAGAAAGCAAATTACAGGTACAAAGCCTATAGACTAGAGGACGGGAGACCCCTTCCTCAAGCAGGAGGCCTGCCGCAGGCTATCTGCCAACGAGCAGGGAACTAAAGATCTCTCATTTTACCTTGCTGGAGAGAGCTACTAAACTCCAGATGTCTTTCTCCAGGGAGGTCCCACTTATGAACCTAGATCTCACCCTGCCAGGCATAAAATTGAACAGATATTTTCCCCTACAAGTCCAAACTCCCAGTCCACCCTTTCCCCCTTGCATGGCAGTCTGAAGTTCTGCCCCCTACAGAGCACAGAGTGTTTGGTCTTGTCCTGAGAGACCTGGACATAGTGTGGATCACCAACATCAGGACAGAGTCTGTGACTAACGGAGAAGAAAGAGGGTGTAGGAAGAAAAGAATACTCGGCGGGAGGGGGCGTTATGACTATACCCTGCCAGTGGTAGTGTTGACCCTTGGTTTGGGCTGTGTCTGGCAGGATTGGGTACAGAACCCCCGGCTCTGATAGCACCCACAGTGGGAGAGTAGTTGCCCTGTGTGGACTGAGTTTGGCAGACAGGGCTGGTCCCCAGCAACTGCTGGGCCTTTGAGCAGAGGTTTGATAGGTGTGAACTGTGACCTGAGAGCAAGGGCATGGTCTCCTGATTCCAACAGAACCCTTGAGCAGTGGCTTACTGGGTGTGAACCAAGACCTGAGGGCTAGGGGATGCTCCACTGCCTCCATCAGGGCCAGTGAGCAGAGGCTTACCAGGTGAGGACTGAGATCTGAGGGTGGAGTGTAGTGCCCTGATTCTAACAGAGCCTGCCAACAGAGGCTTGCCAGGCAGTGGACTGAGACTGGCAGGCAGGGTGTGGTCCCTGACTCCAACTGGTCTGGCAATCAGAGGTTAGTTGTGTGTGGACTGAGACTAGAGGGCAGGGTGGTGCCCTGACTCCAACAGAGCCAGTGAACAGAGGCTTGCCAGGCAGTGGACTAAGACTGGCAGGTGGGGGTGTGGTCCCCTGACTCCAACTGGTCTGGCAAGCAGAGGCTAGCTGTGTGTGGACTGAAACCAGTGGGTGGGTGTATTGCCCTGGGCTCCAGCTGGGCCTGTGAGTAGAGAAGCAGACAACAGTGTGGACTGAGTCTGGCTGGTAGGAGTGTGAATGCCTGCTCCAATTGTGCTTTGAATCCGTTTGCTTTGAATTGTCCTTGAATCCCTCTCTGTTGGGCAGGGTTTGCACTGCCATAGACAATTTGGTTGGAACCTATGTCTGGGGCTGTCCACTCAGGTACATTTTGAAGTTGACCTTTGAAGTTCTGTAGTAGAAAAGAACCAAAGGGTGGAGGCTAGGCACCGCAGCTGTTTGTATCTCTTCACAGTCAAGATTTAAATCTAATAGTGTGGTTTCTTAAGATAGGGTAGAGGTTGGCTGATATCAAAACAGAAGTAACCTGCACTATCTCACCAAGTAGGTCCTCAGAGTCTCCAGCCAAAACTTGAAAGGGGCCTTTGTAAGGTTGTAAGAGATAAGCCACAGTTACAAATCCTAGAGCTTTGGTAAGGGGCTATGTCTACTACTTGGGAACCCCAATTCAGTCTCACCCTACCAGTTTTAATAACCAAACAGTGGAAAATAAACATGGTATGGACCCAACAGAAGAACTCTGGCAACATGAATAACTAGAGTAGATCACCCTCCCCCCCCAAGAAATGACAAAGGAGATACAACTGAAGATGCCATGCATAGACAAATGGCAGCAATGTCAGAAACTGAATTCAGAATATGGATTGCATATAAGATAAATAGAATGGAAGAAAAAATAGAAATCAAATTCCAAAGAGTAGTTCTAAAGTTGTCTCAAGAAATTAATGAATTCAAAGCCCAAGTCACCAAAGATATGGACATAATGAGAAAAAAGATAGCAGATCTCAAGGAAACGAAAAAGTTAGTCGAGGAGCTCCAAAATATAGTAGAATCTCTCAGAAATAGAGTTGACCAGGCAAAAGAAAGGATCTCTGAAACTGAGGACAAAGCTTTCAAATGTTCCCAAACACTCAAAGAGGCAGACAAACAGAGAGCAAAAACTGATCATTCCCTGAAAGAGTTGTGGGTTCACTGCAAAAGATCAAACATTCATCTTATAGGAATTCCTGAAGAAGACAATTGTTCTAAAGGTATAGATAGATGCTCTACTCCAAGAGATCTTGGAGGAGAATTTCTCAAACATTGCAAGACATACAGAACTTCAGATAGCAGACAGTTTCAGAACCCCAGCAAGACTCAATCCAAATAAAGCATCTCCTAGACACATTGTGATTGACTTTGCCAAAGTTAAGATGAAGGAGAAAATTCTCTAAGCAGCCAGACGTAAGAAAAGCATTACCTACAAAGGGAGAAATACCAGAATAACTGCAGATCTCTCAGCTGAAACGTTTCAAGCTAGATGAAGATGGTCATCAACCTTCAGTCTCCTAAAACAAAACAACTTCCAGTCCAGGATCCTTTATCCAGCTAAACTGAGTTTCATTTGTGATGGAGAAATCAAATATTTTAATGACATAGACATGTTAAAGAAATTTGCCATAACTAAACCAGCTCTCCAGGATATTCTTAAACCCATCCTCCACAATGACCAGTGCAATGCTCTACCTCCAAAGTAAACTCACCCAGAAATTTTTTGAACAAAACCCAACTTCCACAGTGGTGATAGGATTAAAATTGTCCACTAGACATCCGAAAATCATGACACCCAAAACACAACCAGGCTTATTAATTCTCTCAATTAATGTTAATAGTTTAAATTGTCCTCTAAAGAGGTACAGGCTGGCTGACTGGATACATAAACTCAGACCAGATAGCTGTTGTATACAAGAATCTCACCTTACCTTAAAGGATTAAAATAGACTCAGGGTAAAGGGATGGATTTGTATAGTACAGGCAAATGGAAAGAAAAAAGCAGGGGTTGCAATTTTAGTAGCAGATACAATTGGCTTTAAATCAACAAAGATAAAGAAAGATAAGGAATGTCACCACATATTTGTCAAGGGAAACATCCAACATCAAGAGATTTCAATAATTCACATTTATGCACCCTATCAGAATGCTCTTCAATTCATAAAGCAGACCCCAATTTTGGATAAATCCTCCAAGCGGAAACTAAACAAAGAAATATTAGACTTAAACCTGACCTTAGAACAAATGGACTTTACAGAACTCTACAGAACATTTCACCCTAATAAAACTGAATATACATTCTTTTCATCAGCTCGCAGGCCATCCTCCAAAATAGATCATATCCTAGGACACAAGTCTAACCTCAGCAAAATTAAAAGTATGGAAATTATTCCTTGTAACTTCTTGGACCACCATGGAATAAAAGTTGAACTCAACAGCAACAGGAATCTTCATACTCAAACAAAATCATGGAAGCTAAATAATCTTAGGCTGACTGATAGTTGGGTCAAAGATGAGATTAAGAAGGAAATCACCAAATTTTTGGAACTAAATGATAATGAAGTCACAAATTATCAAAAACTGTGGGATACTGCAAAGGCAGTCCTACGAGGGAAATTTATAGCATTGGAAGCCTTCATCAAGAAAACAGAAAGAGAGGAAGACAACAACTTAATGGATCATCTCAAGTAACTGGAAAAGGAAGAACATTCCAACCCCAAACCCAGCAGAAGAAAAGAAATAACTGAAATTAGGGCAGAATTAAATGAAATTGAAAACAAAAGAATCATTCAGAAGATCAACAAAACAGAAATTTTTTTTTGAAAATATTAACAAAATAGATAAACCTTTGGCCAACCTAACCAGAAATAGAAAAGTAAAATCTCTAATACTGTTTATCTAAAATGATAAAGGAGAAATAACAACAGATACTTCAGAAATTCAAAAAATCCTCAATGATTACTATAAAAATCTCTATTCCCAGATATATGAAAATCTAAAGAAAATGGACCGATACTTGGAAGCATGCCACCTTCCTAGAATCAACCAGAAAGAATTAGAAATCTTGAATAGACCTATATCAACCCCTGAAATAGCATCAACAATATGAAATCTTCCTAAAAAGAAAAGTCCAGGACCAGATGGCTTCACATCCAAATTCTATCAAACCTTTCAAAAGGAACTAGTATTTATATTATACAACATTTTCCAAAGCATAGGGGAAAAAAGGAATACTTCCCAACACATTCTATGAAGCAAATATCACCCTGATACCCAAACCAGGAAAGGATCAACAAAGAAAGAAAATTATAGACCAATATCATTAATGAATATCAATGCAAAAATATTCAATAAGATCTTAGCAAACAGGATTCAACAACACATCAAAAACAATATACATCATGATCAAGTTGGTTTTATTCCAGGATTACAGGGTTGGTTCAACATAACAAATCTATAAATATAATACATCACATCAATAAAATAAAAAACCAAGACCATATGATTCTCTCAATAGATGCAGAAAAAGCCTGTGATAATATCCAGCATCCTTTCATGATCAGAATTCTTAATAGGCATAGAAGGGACATTTCTTAAATCGATACAGGCCATTTATAGCAAATCCACAGCAAGTATCATATTAAATAGTGTAAAATTGAAAACATTTCCACTCAGATCAGGAACAAGGCAAGGATGCTCTCTGTCTCCACTGCTATTTAACATAGTAATGAAAGTCTTAGCTATCACAATCAAGCAAGAGAAGGTGATCAAGGATATCCAAATAGGATCAGAGGAGATCAAACTCTCACTCTTTGCTGATGACATGATCCCATACCTGGAAAATCCCAGGGACTCAACTTCAAAACTCTTAGAAGTGATCAAGGAATACAGCAGCAATTCAGGATACAAAATCAATACCAATACTTACAAGTCAGTAGCTTTTACATAAGCCAACAATAGTCAAACTGAAAAAACAATTAAGAACTCTATTCCTTTTACAATAGTGTCAAAGAAGATGAAATATCTGAGAATTTACCCAACGAAGGATGTGAAAGATATCTATAAAGAGAACTATGAAAGTCAGAGAAAAGAAATAGCTGAAGATGTTAACAAATGGAAAAACATACCATGTTCATAGCTGGGTAGAATCAACATTGTTAAAATGTCCATATTACCCAAAGCAATCTGCAGATTTAATGCAATCCCTATTAAAGCATCATTTTCATACTTTAAAGAACTTGGAAAAACAGTACTTTATTTTATGTGGAATCAGAAAAAACCTCGAATAGCAAAAACATTATTCAGAAATAAGAACAAATCAGGAGGTATCACATTACCAGACTTCAGGCTATACTATAAATCTATGGTGATCAAAACAGCATGGTACTACCACAAAAACAGAGTGGTAGATTTATGGAACAGAATAGAGTCCAAGAGATGAACCCAGCTGCTTATTGTCATTTGATCTTCAACAAGCCTATCAAAAATATTCAGTGGAGGAAAGACTCCCTATTTAACAAATGGTGCTGGGTGAACTGGCTGGCAACCTATAGCAGACTGAGACTGGACCCCCACCTTTCACCACTAACAAAAATTGATTCTCACTGGATAAAAGATATAGACTTAAGACATGAAACTATAAAAATACTAGAAGACAGTGCAGGGAAAACACTTGAAGAAATTGGCCTGGGAGAATATTTTATAAGGAGGACTCCTTGGGCAATTGAAGCAACACCAAAAATCCATTACTGGGATCTGATCAAACTAAAAAGCTTTTGCACAGCTAAGAGCATAGTAAGTAAAGCAAACAGACAACCTTCAGAATGGGAGAAGATTTTTGCAGGTTATACTTCTGACAAAGGTCTGATAACTAGAATCTACAGAGAACTCAAACTAACCAATAAGAAAAGAATAAATAACCCCATTTCTATGTGGGCAAGAGACTTGAACAGAAGCTTCTCTGATGAAGACAGGTGCATGGCCTACAAACACATGAAAAAATGCTCATCATCCTTAATCATCAGAGAAATGCAAATCAAAACCACTTTGAGATATCATTTAACTCCAATGAGATTAGCCCACATCACAAAATCCCAAAACTACAGATGTTGGATGGATGCAGAGAAAAGGGAACACTTCTACCCTGCTGGTGGGAATGCAAGCTAATGCAACCTTTTTGGAAAGAAGTTTGGCAAACACTCAAGGAACCAAAAGTAGACCTACCATTCGATCCTGCAATTCCTCTACTAGGTACACACCCAGATGATCAAAAATTATTTTAAAACAAAGACATTTGCACTAGAATATTTATTGCAGCTCAATTCATAATAGCCAAGACATGGAAACAGTCCAAGTGCCCATCGACCCATGAGTAGATTAACAAATTGTGGTATATGTACACCATGAAATATTATTCAGCCATAAAAAAGATGGAGACTTCACATCTTTTATGTTAACCTGGATGGACCTGGAACATATTCTTCTTAGTAAAGTATCTCACGAATGGAAAAAAAAGTATCCAATGTATTCAATACTACTAAGAAATAAATATAACCACCTAAACACTCATAAGAATGGCAAAATATAACTAGAGTCCAGAAAGTAGAAGTGAGGAGGAGAGACAGGGGAGGGAAGGGGGAGATATAGGAGGAGGGAGGGCATATGGGGGGACCTCACCTAATGTGCATGATGCAATGGTACATTTCAAAACTATTAAGAAGTGAGTATAATTGTGATAGATGTGTTACTTAGTTCAATGTAAACATTTTACATCGTATATTGAAGCAGTACCCTGAACCCCATAAATGCATCAATGTACAAAGTTATGATTAGTAAAAAATAATTAGTGAAAAAAATTTTAGTATGAATTTATATTTGTGAGAGTTGGACAAAAGAGTGATCCCCAGGTGACTGACACCAAGCCCAGGCATTGAACTTATTGTCGGCATTAATGCAGAGACTCGTTTGGGTTGACTGCCAGGGATCCCAGCCAGCAGCCAGCCATGCTAAGTGCATCCTGCACTGGACAGGATCTTTGGGTAAATAATGTATTAACAGTTTGCAGTAGCACCAAATGAAGGTCTTCATTTTGTACATGTGGACTGGAATTCTTGTGCATATTTTTTAGGAGACTTACCTCTTTTATTAAAGATGCCACGTGGAGTGCAGTGAGAGGAGTTTGCTCTGCTGGTTTGACAACTACTGTGTTTCCGCAGCTCAGGGCAGGAGCTATCTTCCAAACAAGCATGACCAACGGGAAATTCCACTAGAAATTAATATATAACAATAGATTCTTTGTATTGCTGAAAAGTACATTTGCTAATCTAAGTCCACCTGATACACCTCTGCACACATTAAATAATAATTGTAGGTATGTTATGTGATTATTTGGTATATTCAAATGAACTTCATTGCTAAAAGCAACTAGTAAATTCTAAAATGCTCTCAATAAAGCAGATATGGGAAGGGAGTAGAAGAGAGCTTCTAGATTCAATCAAGTGCTGTCAATTTGAGTTCTTCTTCTGCAAGGAAAATAAAAATCACTACATGGTTTGGTTTACCATTAAGCCTATTGTAAGTTATCTGTGAGTATTTCTCCCATCTTGAAGGCCATTTATGATAACGATTTACCTAATAGTATCATTTAGTAGCATTTCTTCCAAGGAAAAATAAAGGCAAAGATGCTGAAAATTCAGAGGCTGAATGCTTGGGTTCAAATCTCAGCTCAATCACTACTTGCTCTGTGTATATGATTTCATGATCTGTAAATGCTGATAATGGTCCTCTCTGCCTCAGAAGGTTGTCCTGAGGATTAATCAATAAACCGGGCCAAGAGTTTTATACAGTTCATCACAGGCACATAGTATATATTAGCTATTATTATTTAAAGTTATATAGTTTTTATAGATTTGGGGGGATTTTTGAATTAATGAAGAATTTCATTTAAAATGTTGATATGGACATATTTCATTCTCATTGGAGTGAAACATAAGTAATAGCCACTTCATCTGAAAACTTCAAGATACTTTACTATCTTCTTATTTGGCCTTTTGAACTATGACAACTAACGTGACATCATTTAGATAGTCTCCTGTTTGTCAAACTTGAAAGGAAATATTCACAATTCTGTTTAAAAATACTACCTTCTCTAAGAATAACTTGCATCAGAGCCTCTTAGGGCACAATACATTCCATACAGCACTCTAAATGCCTCTGGTATTGTTTCTTCCATTTTAATTTAAAAATATCTTTCAGGATTAGAAGTGGTTTCTAATTAGAAAGATGGTTGCTGATCTTCTCTATGCTGAGAAGCCTGAATGAGGAAATAAAGAACGTTGGAGACTAGTGGACCCTACTACATTTAACTGAAATGGTGACCCACAGCAGATAGGCCATATATGAGCACTTTGCCATATATGTGTAAAGCACGGCTCTTAAAAAAGAGGACATAATACTTTTTAAAAACAACCTACAGAGTAAAAGGTTAAGATCTGTTGACTCTGAAGTACTAAAATACTCTCAAGAGACATTGCAGGATATAGATAGTGTTCTGGGCTACCCGATTCATATCTAAGATGTTTAGTTTATCAGGAGACCAAGTTCAACAACTCCTACATGTACTCCACATTGAACAAATGTATTAGAATCCATTTTTGTTAGAGAAAGCTTTATTACTAATCTAATAGAATCAGAACTCTGTTTTTTTAGGTGAAAATTATACAGAAGAACAACTTACAGGAATGATTTGTCCACATACACCAACAGGTTCATGTCTTGTGTAAGTAAAAAAGTTTCCATCTGAAAATGAACACACACATAATCATATATAAACAAATGTTTTTGACATTCACAGAATGGTAGTTTGGGGCTATGTGAGAAAAGGGTGTAGCCAACAATTAGAAAATAAAACATATCTCCAACTGTTCACGAAATGAAAGTGGAGCCCTCAAACTGTAGTCGGCATGACAGGAACCATGAAACTGCGTTAGGTAGAAGCAAGAAGGCAAAACTGGAAAAGATGGGAAAGATAATCCAATCTTTCATCAGTTAAGAAGGCTGATTTGTAAATCATCCTTGTTCTCAAAGTAGCACCAAAAAAAAAAAAAAAGAAAAAGAAAAGAAAGAAAAAAGAAAAAGAAAAAAAGAAAAGAAAAGAAAAAAGAAAAAATAGAAAGGAAATAGGAGATAGCTAGCTAAGAGAAGAACCATATTTAGATATGTTTCTGGCAGCTCAGAATTCTATCACTAATAGTAACTTTTTATTTTTAGAAGTAATATACTTTAAAAAATAGTAAAATTACATTGGATACTTTTTCTTCCATTCTTAACCCAGTTATAGCCTAAGAATATGGGGAAAGGGGAGGGGGAAGGGAGGGGAGGGGGGAGGATGGGTAGAGGGAGGGTGATTGGTGGGATCACACCTATGGTTTATCTTACAAGGGTACATGTGAATCTTTCTTAATGGAGAATATAAATGTCTTAACACAATACCTAAGAAAATGACATGAAGGTTATGTTAACCAGTTGGATGAAAATATTTCAAATTGTATAGAAAAACAGCACACTGTACCCCATGACTGTATTAATGTACATAGCTATGATTTAATAAAAAAAAGAAAAAGAAATATAATAACAGCTAAAAAAAATAGTAACATTAAAAAACAGGAGAATTAAAAAAAATCCCTATAATTAATAATCTTTTCCTACGTATTCTGAAATTTTATTTTCTATTTGCCTATCAAACAATAAAGGCAAATACTTTTAATATACACACACACACCCCCCCCAAAAAAAATGCCAAAAGACATTTCTGTTCCGTTTAGATTTGACTAATTCATGTGCTTCACAGTTGATGTGATCACCCCGAGAGTTACATGGTGCTTTGTGTTCAGTTCTATATTAGCTCTATTAGTTTCTGCAGAAGCCTCCAGGCTTCAGTAACAATTCTGTTGAGATCTATTTGTGCTTTAATGGGCTTCTATCATTTTGTCCCCACATTAAGTGAGATAGTCACTGAAGAGTCATGTTTCTTGGTACCACCCTGGTTTTACTCTCCTCTTTTAATTTCCTGGCTTTTACTTCTCAACTATCAGATATTCCAAGCAGGAGGGAAATGCACATCTGGAGGGTGTTTGATTCCTAAAGTCAGTACATTTATATGAATTCAATTCTACCAACAATGTTGTCAAAAGTGATGCTTTTTCATGTTTCATACGAAGTATTTTCCATATTTCTATTCCGTTAGGTACATCCTCCACTACATACAGTCACATTCACACACGCGAAGCCCTAACCAGGCTGCAAACACAGTTCCATCTTGCTCTGATTGAAACAAATAAATGGTGAATTAAGTTTGCCTAATTCATGTGGCCTCACTCTACCAAGCTTGACCAGGCACAGATGACCATAACCGACTCACACAGGAACATGCAAAGAAGCATAAATAATTACATTATAGAAAGGGTAAAAATGTCACTATTGGACTGAAACCTAAACAAATAATTTGAGAGGCCAGCTGTAAAATGTTTGGCCCTTACAGAGACAACTACCTCCAATCAGTAAATGTGGCTATAAAATTGTGTTCACTTATGATATTTTAGAAAATATCCACAGTGTTATCTTCAGCAGAATTAAGCAGAAACAACTTTACAAGCATCCGATGAATCTCAACAGAACATTCAGGTTCAGAACTGTGTTGCCTCAAAGAGTAGGGGAAAATGATTTTACCTTATTTGGTTAACATCTTCATAAGGGAGAGTTTAAAATACTCAGCTCTATAATAATATTCTCGCTACCCCCATCGCCAGTGGTTTCCCAAAGTGACCTACCTGCTGGGATTGTGCGGCCCTGGACCTTGTCAGCCCAGCCTGCACAGTAGCGTAATGTCTTTATGCAGCCTCCTAAATCCATCAGATATGCATTGGAGAATAGTTTTCCACCATTCATTGCTTCCATTGTCTAAAAAACAGATCAACCTATAAATCTAAACTTCTATAAACATTTAAAATTAAAAATAGATATATATAGCCAATATTTTGAGTGATCATATGCTAAGGAATTGGAAAACAGAGGAACTCTTAAGTCATCTTGTTTAACCTGTTTTCACAAAGGAGACTAAAAATAAGAGATAAATGACATGCTTGAGGTCACATAGCAATATCTGGATTCAAAGGACTGTGAGATTCTGGTTTCTAAAAACTAAATCCTCTTTTTATCTCATTTTGAATGTCCTCCAGCTAACAAACTTTCTAGGACTCAGTCAAAACGGGATATATACACAGCAGGTGAAAATAGTACCTAGTCTTAGATCAGAGTTCCACCAAGATTTCAATTATTGTGTCACGCAACTCGATGTGACAATTTAGTGTCAATCCTATTAATGATGCTTCAATAATCATTTTTTCATGCTTACATTCATCTGGATATACTAGCAAGGTAGCCACACCAACTTAAGTAACACATGGATTTTTCATTCATGAATTCTTTCAGCAGAATTTTTAGTTATGAAACTTCTATTTTTGCCATTATTGTCATAATTATCATTTAAATTGTCAGGCTATAAAGTTCAACATTTGCTACTCTAGTGCCCTAACCATTATAGGATGACCTATGTCCTATTTTCCTTCTCCAGTAGAACTTTAAAAAGCTCTTTGGGATATGATGTTCTGCTGGCACGATTACCTGGCAGGAATATACAGGTGATAAACTGGTAAAGCTCTTCTGCTTCTACTTTACTGTCTAACATCTCAAAATTTAATCAAACACAAGTTCTGTATGACTGTGCTTTATTCTCCCCTAGGAACTTATGTTGACAGGCAGTCAACACATCAGATAAATGAGAGAAGCCAAGCACATCCTGCTATATTCCTACAGGACATTTTGGTTAATATAGTTTGATTGTACATAGCTTCTGGTTCCATGTTTTTGCATATTTTGAATTATGGCAATTGTCAGTCGAGTAATAAATGTTTCTTGGATATAATTGCTAATGTTGATTTTTTTCTTAAGTAGTCTCTTTTGTATCTTCCATTTAAGATTCTAAATGTAATAGAAATTTACTGTGGAACCTGATGCAGATCTTGGTTTACGTTAAAGTGGCTGTGTAAATTCATAATGCCCAACTGAGAAGGCAAAAACAAGGAAATTCTTTCCCCAAAGATATTATGCACCAAACTGCCAAATTATAAGGAAAAAAGAGAAAAAAAACTTTTATAAATACAGCAATGATTAGATTTCTTCTGTAATCTTTGCCTTTTCACTTGTAAAAAGGAACATCATTGATTGATGACCATTATGAATAGACATTTCAGGAAAAGAAAAAGTAGCCATTTATTAAATCTCTTGGTGGGCTAGACTAAAGAGGAATAGGATTTATTTTAGAGAAACATTTTGGGGACCTTGAACACATGATGAGTTTTTCAACTAAAAGGATGAAGTCAGTAGTCGAGGACTTTCAGAAATCCACTGCACCATTCCAGGAGATTCAAACTGCACGCAGCAGTGTTAAGGGCTTTTAGAAGAAGTTTTAAGGTAAAGGAAAGAAATTTCTTTAATTTAGTTTAACTTGGGGTTTGCCAAAGTTCAGACTATAGAACCTATTAGGGCAGCAGAAATTCCCATCACCTAGAAGTGGAGTAGAGATTACTATTGGACAATGGACTCAGAGGTTAAGAGTCACACACCAGAGCTGGGAGACAAAATCTTTCTCTCTGTAAAGAGCACATGGTGATCACTAAAACTAAAACGGCCTGCCAATAAAAATAACGAGTGCTTTCAAGAGCTCTATCTGCCTGTCCCGTTGGGTTAATACTCACCGCCAGCAGCAGACGGTCTCTCTCGATCAAATCAGCCAATTTGTACAACAGTCGCCCCCTCTCGGAAGCGTCCATAGTGCGCCATGGGGAGCCGATCTGGAAAGCCTGTCTTGCGGCCTTCACTGCTTTGTCGACATCCTCCTGTAATCAAAGGGAATTTAATTCAGTAGGCTGAACACACCAGATCTGCAAATCCACGGGCGGTAACCCAGGGCAGCAGACTGAGGCTCCCTGTAAGCGGCCACCGTGTCTCTGTAGCCTGAAGTCCAGCTCGCTGTGCGCACTCGCTGCACTGGAGTTCGCGGGTTGAACAGCTTTAGAATGACGAGCTCCACACATCTACCCTAAGCTTGATTTTCTAGAATGTAAACCCTATAGTAACAGCTGTTACCGTTTACATGCATGCCCTATTTCAAGCAATGTTCTAATAACTTTACACATAACATCAGCTCATTTCATTCTCATTTTATGGGATAATTGTTTTCACCATTTTACACATGAAGAAACTAAAGCAAAGAGGGAGGAGCTTTGCTCAAAGCATCTCAGGGTGGGCAAGGGACTTGGACAGAAATTTCTCTGAAGAAGATCTGCGCACGGCCTACAGATATATGAAAAAGTGCTCACCATCTTTAATCATTAGAGAAATGCAAATCAAAACTACTTTGAGATATCACCTAACTCCAGTAAGATTAGCCCATATCACTAAATCCCAAAACCAGAGATGCTGGCGTGGATGTGGAGAAAAGGGAACACT